ACCCACGGTGTTTCCAGCCGAGTGGCACCCCCTGACTTGGCACTTCCGGCCCTCGGCACCACGGCTCTAAGGCACCACAGCTGAGGTGAAGGAGAAATCGTCCTTATGGGCTTCCTTAACAGAGCAGAAAGTCCTACGCCCTTTAACCACAGGCTTACGCCATAAACACACAAAGGGTCTTAATGCATGGCAGGAGACCATGGCCATACTTAATTACGGTTTATCTTCTGAACAAAACGTCACTGAAAACATGTATAGAAACCCCGAGTCAAGTCCCGAATACCGTAAGGTCTCTAAACGTCACTGAAAACATGTATAGAAACCCCGAGTCAAGTACCGAATACCGTAAGGTCTCTAAACGTCACTGAAAACATGTATAGAAACCCCGAGTCAAGTCCAGAATACCGTAAGGTCTCTAAACGTCACTGAAAACATGTATAGAAACCTCAAGAGTCGAGTCCCGTATCCCGTAAGGTTTCTAATGGTTTGGGTGCGGCATCTTGCCCTTTTGATGACGTCTATGATGCCCAGGTCAGCTGACAACATCTGAAGAAAGAGCAACAAGAAGACCTGTCTGGAGGAGAGAGGTGGAGGAGGAGGAGGAGGTCGGACGCAGAAGGAGGAGAAGTTGCTGGAGCGTAACACACCCCTCTTAAGGCCTCCTCCTCCTCCTCCTCCCTCCTCCAGACGGCAGTGGTGCCAAAGACGGGCTGAGAGAGAGAGAGAGAGAGAGAGAGAGAGAGAGAGAGAGAGAGAGAGCGACTACTGAACTGTGCAGAGGTCGAAGGTCATAGCTGTTAGTGATGTTATTTAACACATTACTAGCGATTGGAGTCAATAGCTGGAATCCAGCCAAGGAGCCTCTTACGTGGCTTACCCTTCACCAAGAGGAAGATGAGGAGGAGGAAGGGGAAAGAAGAAGGAGAACAAGAGGAAGACAGGAGGGAAAAAGGGAAGAAAATTGGAGGAAGGGAAAAATATAGAAAAACTAAGAGAAGAAGAAGAAGAAGAAGAAGAAGAAGAAGAAGAAGAAGAAGAACCTAACTAACCTTACATTACCATACACTACACTCCATCATACACTTAATACACCATACACCATACCCTCCATCACCTAAATACATGGTACATTATCAATCACCATACACGACCTTCCTTTAAGTAACCTAAACACTGATACTTCCATCCAAAGGTCAGTTGGAAATGTACATGTTGACACTACAGGCAAAACTGTCATCAGAATCTTGTTGACAATGTATAACGCCTTTGTCCCCTTCTGTCATGTCATGTCACGTCATGTCAGTATGTTGAATGTGTCCCTCCTATCCCGGTATCAGGTCTTAAGTGCACGTCAGGACCACTCATGGCAAGAAGACCTTTATAAAGTAGAGGATTATATGGTCTCTGTTAAATTCTGTCTATCGTCTAATAAATTTTTATGATCGACTTATTTAATGATTGATGGTTTGAGCAGATGTTTCGTTGCCTGGGGCTAGTGTCAGTGTACGTATGAGAGAGAGTCGACGGGAGGTGAAACGTGGTGTAATTGATTCCCAAGTCAAGTTCCATCACTCTATACCGCCAGCCGGGTTCAAAACTGTATAACCTCGTCAAACTAAGACCTATTTCATACGTAATGCTGGAAAGTTGAATGTCTATCGATCTATCTCTCTATTTACATCTATTTCCGGTTGATCTGAGTGAGCTAAACCAAGTTGTTCTGAACTTATAAGAAACGAAATTGTGAATTATTTTGTATTTTCGCAATGAATCCTCAATGAAATCGGCAGAATACTGTTATTCTATTCCTACCTTTGAGATAATTTAACCTCTATTCATCTACCTATATCACTTATGATATATTTCTAACTATAGAAGGTGAGGTAAAAGATACACGGGGTGGTAAGTCGATGATCTAGTAAGAAATTTCGTGAGGGATTTTTACCTTATATAATGACAAAGTCCACTAACCGTCTCCTCCTGCCTTCCCCTTAGCGTATAACAATTCCAATCGTCTTTATCACACACACTTCATATTGGCCCGTCGACCTTCTGGAGTAAACTGGATACCAAGCTCCTCAATAACCCCAATCATCACAATCTTCCCAACCAATCAGATGATCACTGGTACATAGTAATCACCGAATGCTATGATCACAAGCTTCCTTCATCGTCCCTCCGCTAGATATATGATTCTTATACAATTTTTATTCTTTCGTTTTACATCTTCTATAAAAAAATCAATGGAAGAAGTCCCGAGATTATTACACATGTCTGCGGCCTCTCGTATATTAGAGACTGCAAGTAAATGAACCCGAATTGAAAATAGCCGCTTATCAGGTTTATCGAACTTTCGAACCCTGATCGAGACACCTTTCGATCTAACAAAATGCGTCGCTATTCTCCGCTAGAAAGTGATTCGAAGCTTGAAGAGTATAAGATCTTGGATCCATAAATATCTAATGAACCTGTGACACTGACAAGAACGGAATCTCGGGACATAACTTCGGTGTGAGAAAACGTGCAACTACTTTCTGAAAGGAGATTCGAAGCTTCAGGAAAAACGATTCTCGATTTACATAATTGCTTAATAAGAATTTTGTCTCTCATAAATTTTAATTACTGATGGACTAATGTAATTACTAACCACCTTACGTACTTCAAGACCTTAGATGTTGAAGTACAGTAATAAAATTATAACAACAACGTTTGATGAACCTGCACGTACAAACACTAACGAACAACACACTCTCAAAACTCAACTTGTCAAAACGGCTGTATATTAATCCCTGATCAAAACGCAAAACTTAATCCCCGAACCTAAAAACGGCTGGAGGCTTCAAGGACTAAAAAAAATATCCAGTTCATATGACTATTTGAGCACATGTGAGATTGGTACCACAATGGAGTCTCAATTTGTAATTTCCAACAGGCGGTGGAGACGAAACAAGTAGCGTACATATTCTATGAGACGATTTATTGGTAATCATAGTGGGAATGTCTTCTTCTTCTTCTTCTTTTTCTTCTCCTCTTCGTGGTGACCTATAGACCGATAACTTTTTTAAGAGATACAGATGCAGGTAAAGAGTTGATGATAATGATGTAGGTGATGATGATGATGATGACGAGTGTGTGTGTGTGTGTGTGTGTGTAGCTGATAGCGAGAAGAAGGTTCAGGTTATTTAGGTATTTAAATCTTCTTTTCTTCATGTATTTGTAATTATTTCTTCATCCTTATTCATATATTTTCCGTCATCCTAAACACACACACACACACACACACACACACACACACACACACACAATACACATTAATCATTTCCTCACACTCACACGCACTTTCTAACATATACGGACACCCTTATTTTACTTCTACTTACAAAAACTTCAAGAAAAACTACGACACGACAACTATGTCAGTCTCGGAGGTTTAACGTTTGTTGACCCTAAAAGTGACTTGTTGGGCACGAGAATTTCAGATCACTTTTTGGTGTGTGTGTGTGTGTGTGTGTAGGGGGGAAGGTAAGAAGGAGGCAAGTAGGGGAGGGTGGGAGTGGGGGAAGGTGTGAGAGGGAGTCGGTATGTGAAGTGGAAGGGAAGGAGGGAATGGAAGATGGGAGGGCGGGGGGAAGGGGGATTTACTATATTTGAGATTATAGGGGATGTTAGGTGTGGGGTGGGAGTGAGAGAGGGGGATTTATTAGGTTTGAGTGGGGAGGGGGATGGAGAGGGGGTGATTAGATGTAGGGAGGGAATGACTGGGTGTAGGGGTAGGAGGGGGTGTGTGGCTGACTGTGTATATGTTGAAGGAATGGGAAGTTAATGTATGTATATATGTATGTATGTATGTATGTATAGCGTTGCCCAGAAGCTTTCACGAGGTTTTATTGATAAAGTGTAACCGGAGAGCTTATGGGAGACACCTGGACTGACAGCGAGGATCTCTGACGTTTTAAGCTGACGACATAAAGCTCTGATGTGTCGCTTTTTGGGTGTGTTAGTCGTAAACTGTGTGATGTACGGAGGTCACACACACACACAAACACACACACACACACACACACACACACACACACACACACACACACACACACACACACACACAAAATACCTCTGGGTGTCGTGCTCAGGATTGTCTTGAATATTAATTATGTGTTTACATGTTTATTGTGCACCTGTTTACCTCTGTCTACCTCCCAAAGGTCAAGAATGAGAGGTCAGTTAATAAGATGTCTAGAGGGAGAGAAGAACAATGACATCCTAAAGGTCAATCAATAACAAGAAGTCATTCAATAGTTCAAGAAATAAGAAGTTGAGGATTTGGTAATATGAGTGTCTGATTAAAGAGTGAGATGTCTGCCCGTCTGTCTGTCCGCTTCTGTTACGTGGTCAAGTAATCTCACTAAGGTCCGTTTCATTATGCATAGTACAGCCCACTGTCGTCTAGCAATGTAAACAAACGTGGTCTTGGGTTATCAGCTTCTACTTACAGTATATACATTACTTTCTCTATGATTCTCGCACTCAGTTTTTCTGGGTTGATGAGCAGATGCGTGGAAGACAATCATCTGGGTCTTAAACACCGAAATTTACGTTGTTTCAGAAGATCTCACTTAAGTCTTGAAGAATTGGGAGTCGCCTCCGAGGCCTGGTTAGTGGTGGGGAGTAGGGGGAGAGGCGGAGCTGAGGGGAGAACGGGGCGGGGCCTGGGAGATGTGGGGGCGGAGTTAACTGGGTGAGATAGTCCTTGAATTGGAACTACCAGAGGCGGTGTTTTATTGAATTTTCTTATGCACATAAATTCCCAATTTTAGTGTTTTACTGGATAAGATTCTTCGGGGATTACGCTAGAAATGTTAATGGACGTGTATTTATGTTAATGAGGGGTGAAGTGTGTGTTTACATGCCGTGTGAATTGCGAGGTGAGGATGGCAGCTTTAGAGAGACCAAGATGGCAACACTAGTGGATGGTGCTTCAGTGTGTAGCTCGCACCATCGACGACCGAGCGACCTCACAACCGCGGACAGGTGCGGTAAGTGCGGACGTCAACGCCACCTGTCCATTGATCCGCAGTGATTGACGTACAAACAGACAGACGGGGCCGTAAAATCGCACCGGCGGCGGAAAGTCGCGGAGACAGAATACTGACATAAGGGATTCTCTTGTGCAGTTTGAAGCATCCGATTTGTGCTCTGAACGATCCGAAGATTACTCTTAAGATTGTAATAAGTTGTTTACAAACACTTGGGTTAAGCCTGAGGGCGTGGTGGGCGTGGTGCATGATGACCGTAGAGGTGTGCGGGCGGGTGTCGGTGCCCAGCGTGTCTCCGGGCGGCTCCAGCGACGGCAGCGGCGCCCACATGGTCGATGACACCCACAGCGAGGGGGGCGTGTCGTCGTCACCCCCGGCCCGCGACACCACGACAGAGCCACCGCCCGTCCACCGCCCCAAGTTCATGATCACGGATATTCTGGCCCAACGAGCACCACCCACGCCCACGGAGGACCATGGAGAGGGTGGGGCCGCCTCCATCACGCCCACCGGTGACTCTCTCAAGGCGCTGGCTGGTCAAGACGACGACCACCTCGGCGACGATGCAGGTCAACACGATGACGACAGTGAGTAGCACCGTCCATTGACCCCCGGGTGATCTAGGATAACCCCAGGGCGATACACGGTGACTCATGAGAGGTTAGGGTGACCTTAGCGGTGTGAGGGTCTGCCAAAGGAAGGGGATGGTAGGTGGTCTTTTGGGAGATAAATCCAGATATGTTTTTGTTATAAATGAGCGCTCCTGCCGGCAGGTAGCGGGAGAACGTTCGTCTGGCGATGCACTCATAAGTTCGTCACTATGGAAAGGAGAAGGAGGGCAAGTCCAAGTGCTTTTGATTAATCATGCTGGTTTGATCGTCAGGCGCTGTTGATTGCTCGTATTGGAGCAGGTAGGAAGTTTTTACAATGGGAGGAAGTAGCAGAAGAGGTAAGAGGACGGGTGAAGAGTGTGCGGGTGGTCGCCACAGACTTTATAACAATATTTAAATCCAGACTCAGAATCAATTTATTCAGTAACACTAGTATAGGTGCAGGTACAACGACTGATACAGTGATTTAGGTACAAGCACTGGTAGAGGAATTCAGGTACAAGGCCAAGTATATACAGTTATTAGGGTACAAGCCCAGGCACGATGATTTATGTATAAGCACAGGTACAGTGACTCCCACAAGCCACCAGCGTCAAAACAGGGAAGGCCGCAATACTAACACTGTCATACAATGATTTATATGCATGGGTGTTGGTGGTCGCTGGCGGGGCGGGTGGGTGTGAGGCGGCGAGGGACACGCGGCGAGAAGGGGGTCGTATATAAATATGTGTTGACGATGCTGAGAGTCGAGTGAGGGATGAGAGGGAGGGGTAGAGAAGGGGGGGGGCGTCCATAGGGAAGTAATTACCAGTCGTTGTCATGATATAAAAATGACTGGATTTTAGTGAGTAATTCAAGGATAAATTGTTATTTAATGTTTGTGCTGCTTTAAATAACTTATTTGGAGATTATAAACAAGAGTCTGTCGAAAATGAGTTTGATTTTATGTTTGTAATTTAGAATTTTTAGAATTAATAGCAAACGGTTCTGGGAAATATTTTTTTCTCAGTTCCGCTGCTTCATAATTATCGAACATACAGTTAACGTCTACATATTAACTGTTTCTCAGACTACAGACAGTAAGCACTCAGTAGGACAAGTAACTCACCGCCCCGACATCTACAGCGACTTAAAACTAAAGAACATCTCACTTACAGGGGAGGAGAAGCTGAAATGGCGTGTCTCAGACATCAATAAAACAACTATTTTACTTTTACTACACTTCTGCAAAATTCACAAAGCCGCCAAAACCTCCTCTGTGAACACGTAAAATGCGGGTCACCCCATCTGGTGGCTGCAGGACACAGAATTATCCCGTGAAATGACCATATAACTCTAAAATTTCCCCCGCTAGTGTCACGCAGCCACGATAATATAATAGTTATCCCCCCCAACAAATATTATTTAGATGTGTCTCACGGAAAACGATAATACGGGTTAAAAAAAAAAAAACATACGCGTTTATCATCATCATAATAAAACTGATTATTTACGAGCCATCAAATTGCATGCAATGATATCATGACGCAGTGCTTGCAAGAATTAGGCTTTAAATTTCACAGGTAAGAGTGACAGAATCCGGAATTAGAGATGGAGTTAAAATCAGGCGTGGAAATAATTTAGAGTTAGGCAGCGAGAGAATCAGAATCACCCAAAGAAAATTAAAATCATATAGAATTAGAGTCACACAGTAACAGAAATACAATAAGAGAACAGTAATGAGAAAACAACGGGAATAAAATCAGACAAAGATAATTAGAATCAACGGTAAGATAATCAGATAACACAAGATAACACAAGCGGAAGGATTACACAGCAACAGAATAAGAATCACTCAACAACAGAAGAAGAATCACACAACAACAATAACAGAAACAGAGAATTATGAAGCAAGAGAAATTCGGAAAAAACAAAGAAGCGAAAAGAAAGAAATGAAAACAAGGAGAATGACATTGATACTGAACTTGTTGCTTGATGACGGCAGAGAGAGAGAGAGAGAGAGAGAGAGAGAGAGAGAGAGAGAGAGAGAGAGATTGACCCTGTGAGTCTCAATATACTCCTCCCGTTAGGCAAGCACCAGCAACAATGCGGACAAAAATATGGAGAAAACCACCATTGTTTATCTTTTTCCTTTCCTCTTCTTTCACCAACGACTGGTATTTCGACTAATGTAATCTACGGCGTCCCTTCATAACCCCTTCATGACCTTTCACGTCCGTTCTCCCCGTTCCCCTTGTCCCATCACAGCCTCCCGCACCAGCCCCATCGATATCTATTCACCATCGCCACAGGGGGTTGTATCGGCAGTTGTTAACATGCGTGGATAGTGATGGCAGTTGTGTTGTGTTGTGTTGTGTTTACGGAAGCAAGTATTTTATTAAATTTGTATATATATATACAATAAAAAACTAAGTGCAGTTCTGTAATATCTAAAGAAATTTAGACTAATGTAAGGTAGCTTGATGCTTACACAGCTATACTAACTATAGCCTATTGATGCGATGGTCCAATTTTGTAAACATTTCAGTGGGGGAAAACAAAATGGAACGGAAGTGTAACCGACCCAACAAAATACACCAATGGTAATCCAAGGTGACTCTTTATCTACGTTCTGATTAGTAGGATGAGTGTGTAAGTGTATGGCCCTGCACCTGTACTCTGGGACGCCGGATACACACGATACACCGTACACTTATACCTGTACTGAGACGACAGAGGAAGGTTATGTTTGGTGTCTAGATCACTTTACTCTCTGGTTGCGTCACTTAGCCTAGTACCCGACTTTTCTGACCTGACTGAACCTTTTTTTCCTACTTGGGGGATAAATTTTTCCAAGTTCGGTTTAACACAGCCTCGGGCATTGTACTGTACATGACATATATTACAGGGGATTAGTGTGTGTATTGTAACACTCAGGCCGGATATATACTCACACGTTATATCATGTTACACTCGTACCTATACTGAGGCACTAGTGAGTGAAGCACCCAACCAGTATATGTATTCATGCGCTATGGTTTAAAAGTTACACCTACACAAAAAAAAAGATTACTGAGTATTTAGTGATTGTAATGTTGCGTCTCGTCTTTTATTGGTACACCTGATACACGCCCAACATCTATTCCCTTACACCCGCACTGAAAGACGCTCGCAGGTGAGTTTCCTGTGTGTATCGTCGCCATCCCGCTGATTAAACATAGAGACAGTTTAGTGAGTGTTATCTCAGGTACAGTACACATCCCTCCTCCCCTCCCTCCCCCTCTCTTTTACTACGTGTATTCACATTCCTACACATCTTTATACTGGCAGACCCGGAGGTGTTGGTGGCAGATTGTTGTTTGCATACACTGCCACCCAGGTAAACAAACTTGACAAAATAATGATAAATATATTTAGACTGTGCAAAAGAAGATGTTGAAGCCATTAACATCCTTTATAAAGATTAATTTAAACAAAAGTAGTTAACGATACTATAGGAAATACTAATAACACACCCTATGTGTTAACCAGCAGGATATCCAAATAGGAGAACCTAAAGCAGAACACGTCCTACTGACAGCTTAACACCTACTAATGCTCAGCCTCTTATATACGCATGTACTGACTCACCGACCAGGTTCATCTTCCGGTGTTGTGGTCGCGCTTAACCATCACATGATACACGATAAACAGTTGACCACAGGACATGACCAAGTACACAACATCAGCTGACCTGACCAAGTACACAACATCAGATGACCTGGCTAAGTACATAACATGTCCTTGGGTCTACCTGTGGTCATTACCTGTTACTGGGGAAGTATCATAGAATTGTGTGTTTACTACCGATTGGTCGAGTCACTTGAGAGGCAGCGATGGTCTGTCTCCTCCTGTAGTGTAAGTTTATGTGTAATGTATGTGTATGTTTGATAGTGTACGTGTAAAATAATGTAAATACATATCTTGTATAATAATGTGCGCGCGTGGGTGTGTGTGTGTGTGTGTGTGTGAGCGTATGTGTGTGTACGTGTGTGTGTGTACATGTGTGTAAGACTGCATAATAATAATAATAAAAATAATAATAATAATAATAATAATAATAATAATAATAATAATAGTAATAACGATAATAATAATAATAATAATAATAATAATAGTAATAACGATAATAATAATAATAATAGTAATAACGATAATAATAATAATAATAATAATAATAATAATAATAATAATAATAATAATAATAATAATAATATGTGATGTGTAATATGTGATAATAATATGTGCTTGATATGTATGTGTGCTTGATAATAATAATAATAATAATAATAGTAACGATAATATGTGTAACGATAATGTGCTGTGTGTGTGTAACGTGTAATATGTGTGTGTATATATGCGCGCGATAATAAATAATATGTGCGTGTGTGTGTGTATATGTGTGTGTGTGTGTGTGTATAATAATAATAATAATAATAATAATAATAATAATGTGTGTATATGTATAATAATAATAATAAAAATAATAATAATAATAATAATAATATGTAATAATCAACAGTTTATTGTAAGAAGATGTTATACAAAAAGGCTAAATATACATTAAACAAGTAATACAAATTATGTAAAATATATAAACGTGTGTGTGTGTGTGTGTGTGTGTGTGTGTGTGTGTGTGTGTGTGTGCGTGTGTGTGTGTGTGTGTGTGTGTGTGTGTGTGTGTGTGTGTGTGTGAGTGTATGTGTGAGTGTGTGTGTGTGTGTGTGTGTGTGAGTGTGTGTGTGTGTGTGTGTGTGTGTGTGTGTGTGTGTTGTCTGCCTCTTGAAGTTAATAATAATAGGAGTCTGATATATGCATTACAATTAGATATATACAGTAAACTTTCCAACATGTACAGATATGACGTACACTCGGATTACCCATGTACACATTATAAATGGTGTGGGTAATATGTACAGTTACGGGCGAAATACAGCATTATCTAGCATCATATACTT